GCCCGGACCTGGATGCATCTCCTGGGCCTCATGGCAGCCTGCAGTTATGTAGTGCAGCACACCAGACTGCGCATGCGCCCATTACAGATGTGGTTGTCGCGAGTCCACAACCTGTCCGCTCGCTCATGGGACAGAGTGCTGACGGTTTCCGGCCCTGTCCTCCTTGCGCTGGACTGGTGGATCCACCAGGCAGAGGTCTGTGCAGGAGTCCCGTTCTCCAGATCAATGCCATCCATCCGCCTGGTAACAGATGCGTCGGACATGGGCTGGGGAGCCCACTTAGGAGACCTACACACGCAAGGTATGTGGTCTGTGAACAAGATCTCCCTGCATATCAACATCAGGGAGCTCCGGGCAGTCCGACTGGCTTGTGCAGTTTTCCTTCCCCACCTCAGGGGCAAGTCTGTCCTCATTCTGTCAGACAACACGACAGCGGTGGCGTATCTAAACAGGCAGGGCGGGGCTCATTCTCCTCGCCTGTGCTTTGAAGTGATTCGCCTGTGGGACCTCTGCTTCGGGGCGGATATCTGCCCAATGGCCTTGTACCTCCCGGGTTCCCAAAACGTCCTGGCAGACAGGCTGAGCAGATCCTTTGTGGGACACGAATGGACCCTGAGGTGGGATGTAGCTCAATCTGTCTTTCATGCATGGGGGTCTCCTCATCTAGACCTATTCACCACAGGACAGAACAAGAAGTGGCCATGGTTCTGCTCCCTCATGGGGCAGTGTTCCCTGGGAGATGCTCTCCTCCTCCCCTAGCCACAGGGGCCTGCTGTGTGCATTTCCACTAAATCACAGGGGTCCTCCTCAGAGTGCAGGAATTCAGGCCATCCCTGATTCTAATCGCCCCGGCATGGCCCAGGCAACACTGGTTTTCAACGCTCCTCAACCTGTCATGCGAGAGACTCTTCTGCCACCCGGACTTGCATTTGCTGCACTTGACAGCGTGGAAGCTCTGTGGTTGACAGCGGAGGAGCTTCAGTGCTCAGAACGGGTTCAGGAAGTCCTGCTGGGTAGCCAGAAGCCCTCCACTAGAACCACTTGTTAAGTAGAAGCGGGTCTGCATCTGGGCATCCCAGATGGGGGTGCACCCAAGGCAGGCTACAATCCCACTTTCCAAACTCATGGGACCCCCGTTCGAACCGTTAGCGATGTGTTCTCTCCTATACCTATCATATAAGGTGTCTCTTCTGGTGGCACTCGCATCAGCTAGGAGAGTATCCGAACTCAGGGCGCTTAACTTGGATCTCCCCTACATGGTGTTTTTCAAAGACAAGGTTAGACTCCGCCCCCACCCCGCCTTTCTGCCCAAGATAGTGTCCTCTTTCCACACCTCCCAGGATATTTTCCTGCTTGTCTTTTACCCCAAGGCACACGCGTCTGGGGAAAAAACAGGCTTTTCACACTTTGGATGTGTGTAGAGCATTAGCCTTTTATTTAGACAGGACACAACCATTCAGGAAGTCACCACAATTCTTTGTGGCCATTGCGGAATGGGTGAGGGGCCAACCCGTGTCCTTCCAGCGGATCTCCTCCTGGATAACTGCTTGTATCAAGGAGGGCTATGCCCTGGCGGGGGTACCGGCTCCACCCCTTAGAGCGCACTCCACGAGAGCCGTGGTAGCCTCCACCACTTTCATGGCCCAGGTTCCCATCTTGGACATCTGCAGAGCCACTACATGGTCGTCTGTCCATACCTTTGCCAATCACTATGCGCTAACACATCAAGCTAGGGAAGTCGCTGCCTTGGGCAGGGCCGTCCTCCACTCCTCTGTGGCTTCAACATCCAGCCCTCCTCTAAAGGTTCTGCTTTGGAGTCACCTATATTGGAATGCACATGAGCAATCACTCGAAGAAAGAACGATTACTTCATAACTGTGATTCTTCTAGATGTGTTGCTCATGTCCATTCCAAATCCCACCCCTGCTGCCCTCTCTCCGGAGTATTCTGGTAAGAAGGAACAGAGTGGGTGAGGGGGACAGCAGGGGTATATATGGGCCAATATACCGGCGCCACTCCAGGGGGCTCCTCTGCTGTCCCTAAGGGTACTGCTGAGGGAAAAGCTTCCGACGGTGCGTGCATGCTGCGTTGCACACACCTATATTGGAATGGACATGAGCAGCACATCTTGAAGAATCACAGTTACGAGGTAAGTAACTGTTCTTTCTGAAAAGTAACTGCAGGTGTAAGTGAAATTAGTTTAGTGCTTTAGTCTCATTCAAATTTAAATCTTCTAAAGATACATCAATAATCTTAATTTGTATAGCATTTGGTTGTTACACTTGAATTTACATCGTATCTTCATCATACTAGTCATGTTTGTGGTAGTACTATTACTAGAGTTTACTTTAAACGTGTTGCTTAGAGAAAATTAAATACAAAGTCTATTGAAATATCTTTGAATTTCTTTTTTTGGGATTTGAAAACGAACCATCAATATTAAATTTGCATTGTGTCCTTGTCATTCTATTGTCGGTAATAGTTTGGATGTAAACAGTAACTCTATTATCCCTGAAATGTTTTAAACACATTAGACAAATTTCTAGAGAGGCAAGCATCTTTAAAACACAAGAACGTGAGGATATTGAGAGTAATCAAGTGAGTTATACTAGATATTGAATGAAAATGTTTCTACTTCCCTTGGTTGAGAAACTGTTTAAAATTTTACCATAGAGGTTTTTGCAAAGGGCCTGGCCTTCCTCATAATCTGTAAATTGTGGTAATAGGAATTTTCCATGGTGTGACAATCAACAGCTTTTTCTTGATAGCCATTTTTAATGCATTAAGAATGAAGCAGTTATTGGCTAGCAGCACTTGCTCCCAGTAATATTTGCAGCTTGTGAGATTGATTTCAGTGACATGTACTAGCACTATTCTGTTTGGAAACCTTGTCTATTCTAGGTTTATTTTCTGAAAAACTTCCCATCATTGCTAATGTCAAATTCAGCTCCAACAGTGTTGTTAATAGTGGGAGCTCTGGTGTTGGCAAGATGCTAGAGGCTGTCTGGACTTTGGACAGACAGCTGGTGCACTGGTATAAATACCAGGATTTTTTTCTGAAAACACCAGTATGTAGATAATCAAAAGAAGCAACCTTTGTAAGGAGCATGTGGTGAGGCTTGGGAGGGAAGGAAGGAGGGACGGGTTGTCAGATATCTAGCAATAGTTCTGTTATCACAGTCCATAGCCATTTGTAGTTTAGGAAATGCCACTGTAAGTCTTGTTATAAATTAATAGAAATTGGTACTGATTTTATGATAGAATTAAAAGAGGACCTATTTTTATGTATTTTCACATACCAAAATAGTATTTTTGTAGATGTCTTATTAATCATTTCGGATTCCAGGGATAGCATGTAAAGATTAGTAAGCGTTTAAACTAGGGATGTAAAAGGTTAACCAATGAACTGGTAAGCATCACCCTTAATGGGTGATACTTACTGGTTCGATTAACTGGTTGGGGCTGGAGCAGCTCCCTGACCACTGTGCGTAGGGGCTGCTCCAGCCATCCAGGGTAGCCCTTTGTCTGCGGCATGCCCAGGTGCGTTGCAGGTGGGGCTGCTCCAGCATGACCACAGTGAGGTGAAGGGACCACTCCAGCTGGGGTGGAGTGACCCGCCCCCCCCCCTTAACTGGTTAACCATTAAGCATGAAGTAAATTTTCGGTTCAGTTCGTTAGCCAATTACACAGGATTTCACATCCCTCATTAAAACTATATCTACAGGTGTATCTGAACTTCAGAAGCCAAGTTGAGATGGGATAGATTCTGATCCTATAATGGGATTATTTATAAGAGCAAAAATTGGTATTGTTCAGACAATTCTGGGTGTTTTGGTGACTTCTTAGTTGTTGAAAGAAAAACCTAGAATCCTGAAATGGGCTCTGGCTAAGTAAAGTCATCTTAATAGATAAACATACGTGCTGATTACAATCTTTATTGACCTCTTTAGTTGCTTGTAAACCACTCAAATCAAATTCAGAAATATGGAAAATGGAGTAGCAGTGATCCCCAATGTGTTCTTGAACAGAGAACTCTTTTCAGAGTCCCATTTCAATATTCTACACTTGAAACTTCTCTGTGAAAACAGAGGGGTCTAAAAGCTTAGGCTATGTCTACACTACCAGGTTATTTCAAAATAAGCTTATTCCTCTTCACAAACAGGAGTTATTTTGAAATAAGCCCATTATTTTGAAAAAACAGGCTTCATAGTGTGGATGACCACCTTGTAGTTTTGAAATAACTCCCCAGTGTAGACATGTCCTTAGTGTGTGTGCGCGCACACCAGTCTTCCCTGTAAACTGTGAGCTTGTGTGGTGTCGCTCAAGAAAGATTCAAATGCCACCAAGCTGATTAGCAGAGTACCCACACCTAGGTTTTGTTTCTACTGTTGGTGCACATTCACACATGCTTCATGGCATATAAAATTTATTCTGCACATTGATAGAAAAGATTAGAGGAGACATTGGTGTGAAAAATATCATTGAACGTGTAACCAGTTCACTTCCTTGCTGTTGGATGTAAATGTAAGAAAACTGCTATAGATTGATTTAAGAGAAGTCTCTCAAAAAAACAAAATTCCTTCAAGCCCTGATTTATCACCTTCCAGATGAGCTAGAATCCATATTCACAAAATAACGTATTGTATTTGTAAGAGCTTTGACACAGTAGGTAAATGATCTAAATGGAAATACATTTTTAAAGTTGTCCCCAGGTGCTGCTTGAGTAGACGTTTTCTTTTCAGTAGTCATTGCATCAACTCTTCTGTTGAGTGTTCACTTTAAAGTTTGACAACATTTAGTTTTCACAGCCCACTTCATTTTCAGAACAAACCAGACAGAAAATGTACTAGTCTTTCTTAAGAAATGGTGACAGCGCTTTATGTTCCATGATGTGGGTGAAGTGAGAATATATTACTGAGAATTAAAAGTGCAGCGCTTGATGAGACAAAACATATTTTGACTTAAATTTCTTTTCCCCTTATTACTTTCTTTTTCAATAGAAACTATGTTCCAACTTCCTGTCAACAACCTTGGCAGTTTAAGAAAAGCCCGGAAAACTGTGAAAAAAATACTTAGTGACATTGGTTTGGAATACTGTAAAGAACACATAGAAGTAAGTATCTGATGTAGCTTTCTGGTTAGAATTGAGGCACTTTGAATCAATCTTCAGCTAATGTAATATTTCTTACTGAGATTTAATAAAAATGTTGTGTTAGCTACCACGACATCAGATGGGGAGGGATCCTTATATTTCTCTGATAAACCTTTAAGGATCTTCAGTTTTACCCTGTCATTTTACCACCAGATTCTGTTAGAATGCATACCATGTAGAAGAGTCATTCTTGAAAGGTTACTAAGGTTAGCAGCTTTTATGTAAGGATGTGAAAGATTAACCAGTAAGCATTACCCTAAATGGTTCTGGTTAACCAGTGGGGCTAGAGCTGCTTCTCTCCCGCTGTGGGCAGCGGGCTGCTCCATTCCCTTGGGCCCACCACAGATGGGGGCTGTTTTAGGTGTTGGGGGCTGCCTCTGTTTGCGGTGGGCTGGGGGGGGAGGCATGCAGGCAGGGGGCTGCTCCAGCCCAACATGGGCCAGTGGGCACTGCAGCCCAGCCGGAACATGCCCCTTCTCTCCCCTGCCATTGGTTAACTGGTTAAACTTCACATTTAACCATTTAACCAATTAAATGAGATTTTACATCCCTACTTTTAAGCCTTATCTAGTATTGGATTTAAAGCTATAACATAAGCTTGAGTGCTTATCAACATCTTTTAAAAACAAGGTGCATTGTTAGGTTTTAACTTGACTGGTTTGACATGTATTGAAGACAGTGGGTGTGCTTTGTCTTTGCTAGACTTTTAAATAAGGTTAGCAGATGCTGTCTGTTGTAGTAAAATGACTCCTTTAAATTCTAGCCTAGACATGGCCTAGGAGCCTGCTACGCTGGAGGCCAAGAGATGAACTGAGATTTGTACATGTATTTCAGTGCAGGACAATAGGTTACCATGTTACAAGACTGCTTTGTCTACACTGCCAATAAAATGATAAAACTTTTATTTGTCTCTCCAAAAGACAAAAGTGCAAACGACTCATTGTCGTATAAGATTGGAAGTATTTTGTCACGGAAAGTGGCAACAAATTTACAGTGCCTGGCTTGACAGAGCTTTGTCACTAAAAACTCTGTAGGGTAGACAAAGCCCCAAGACATATTCTGCTATTAGTTACTGACAAACTTTAAGATACCCTCTTTTCTTCAAGTCAGTACCATGTACAATCCTCTTTCCATTCCTCTGCAGCTCTTTAGCACCCCATGGATTATAGCAGGTGTGGGAAACCTTTTTTGGGGGGTCTGGGGCTGCTGACCCACAGAAAAATCAGTCAGTGGCGCACAAAAGTGAGAAGAAAAAAAACACCTCACTGATGTGGCCCTCAAATGAGAAGCAAGAAGATACTTCACTCATCACAGCCTGGGGGGGCTAGGCTAATAGATTTGGGGGGGGGGCAAGGGTCTGGGGGAGAGCCAAAAATGAGGGGTTTAGTGTGTGGGAGGGGTCTGCTGGGAAGCAGGCTTGGGGTATGGGAAGGAAAGATGCAGAATTGGGTTGCAGATTGCTGGGTCTGGGAGGGTGGTAGTGTGCAGGAGTGGGATGGAGGAGCACTTACCTGGCTCAGCTCCCTGGGGATTCATGGCTCCATGTCCCTTGCCACTTCCAGGCACTGCCCTGTGCCCTCTCTCCACCCCACTGCTCCTATTGGCCGCTGGTATGGCCAATTGAAGTGCCATGGGAAAAGCTTCCAGGCAGTGCTTTGCTGTGCTGCTGTTTTCCCAGCTTTGGGGGGAGGGGGAGAGCAGCGGTGTGCAGAGCCACTTCCTCTCCCCACCAAGCAGGGCCCATGGGTTGGATCTAGCCCCAGGCTTGCCTGAATCCAGCCTACGAGGCTTGTGGTTCCCCCACACAGTGGGAAGCTGGGGAGTGTGTGGGAGGGTGTAGGGTTGGCGCACCAACACTGCTCCCTGATGCTGTGCAGGAGCCCCAAGCTTCAGAGCCAGATCCAGGCAAACTGGGGCCACATTTAGATTATAGCCACCCCTGGATTATAGTCGTCTTTGCTTTGTTCTTGTTCTAAACTAGCTCCTCTTCTTTGTGTCATTGTTCTAGTTCATTTCCAAAGAAAATGAGTGTGTGTCTTTTTGTTTGGGATAAATTGCTTTGAAAAAGTGTGGGTTGAATAATGTACTTCAGGGTAACATTTTCATTTTAAAAGTGATTTAGGCTTTGAGGGGCCTGAGTTGACTTTGTCAGAATTTGGGCTTCAGAGTATCTTAGATTCTTTCAAAAATGGGTTTTAAGGTGCTTTTAAAAACTTCTCTTAAGTCCCCATGCTAGAATTTTTTAAAAATTGAAGCTTATGCCCATATTGAAACACCTGATTTCTTTAAAATGTTGAATATTCAGTGTTCAACTAAGTGGGAACCATCAGGTGAACACTTCTGAAAAACACTTGCGAGGAGCCCCCTGCCACTACAATGAGTGCTGAGTGGCAGCAGCCCCTGTTGGGGGAGGGAGGGTAAGCTCCTGGACCTGGTGGGAGCCAGAACTGAGCCGGGCTGCCTGCCCGCATGGCTCCTAATACACTTTAAATGCAGAGCCACAGCAGGAGTAGATCCCAGACCCAGTGTGAGCCAGAACTAAGCTGGGCTGCTGGCCAGCCTGCTAAAAAATTAACTGGCAAAGGAGGAGGGAAATGTGTGTAGTCTATAGCATTAACTGATAAGCTTTTGCTTATCGGTTAATCAACTATACTATTACATCCCTACTTGGGTTAATGATCTCTTGTACTATTTGTAGTTAGTGTTTGGTGGAAAGAGGGCTGTACGGGTATCTTCATAAGTAATTAATAGGTAAGTCAGTTTTTGTTTTTGATGTTTCTCTGTCTTCCCATCCGCCCTTTTCCAGGATTTTAAACAGTTTGAACCTAATGACTTTTATTTGAAAAACACTACATGGGAAGATGTAGGATTGTGGGATCCATCGCTTACAAAAAATCAGGTTAGTAATGGCTCCACATAATCTCACTCAGACAGATCCTGAAGGCAGTAACTTTCAAATGGTGTATGGCACAAATGATGGTTTTTGTAGTATTTTACTTAAAAGATTATTAGAATAGTGCTTTTGTTATACAAGGAACAATCCTAGGCTCAATTGGGATAAACGGATGCTGAGCCAAGTAGTTATTTGAATTAGAAATTGCACTGTTCAGAAACTTAAGTACCTGTTTATTTTTGCAGTTTGACAAACTTGAGTTAAAAAAAAAAAAAGTTGCCATCCTGTTTTTCCAGCTCTACACAAGCTCACCATCCCTCCAGTTAAAAATATAACTATTTGTACCTACTATTACTAAAAGATTTGCTTTACCTCTCCTAATTCAGTTCCACCATCTGTTTTCTTGATGAATTCAGAAAATATTAAGCAGAATTAATTCAATTGCTGCTCTCTGCACAGCCATAGCTTTCAGCTGTCTGCTGCATCTCTGAGGACTCAGTGATAACCCATCTGTGTCAGAGGCTGTTCAATGTGGGCACACATAGTTAAATGCTGCTGAACAGAGTGGCAGTGTTATTGGAAATCTCATTTATTGTTTTTTAGATGTTTCTGAATTGACTTGAAGCTAAGGAGGTTTGATCTGAACTAGGAGAAATGGAAGGAAAGGATGTAACTGACAGTGACTTCTATTTCTACTGACTAAACAAATTTAACGAAGCCCTTCACTTTTGATTCTATGATAGCCTCCACTTTTAGTTGAATAAAATAAGTAGTGAAACAGGGACATGGTAAAAATTCTACTTATGAAGTCAGGTGGCGTGAGTATCAGGTATTGCTCACCATCAAAATTTATTTGATGGCTCATTGGCCAGGTATTTGTAAAACCAAAGTTCCTTTATTGCTATGCCCCTGACAGCATCAGTATGTTCTCCCTGTTTCTAATACATTCAACACGATCTGTTATATCAAAGCAAACAACTCTTAATTCTGGGGCCTGTTTCCAGCAATAGCCAATATCAAAGGCTTCAGAAGGTGGCCAGAAATACACATGGGTCACCTACTCTCTTGTCCACAGACGGAATAATTTGTTCCTTAAATTTCATAGTTATTTAATGTTAAATTATTTTGAAATGCCAGACTGACTTAAAAGATAGGCATGAATAGTGAATAGTTTAATTTCAGTTTGAATTGTAACACTTGACACTGCATCTGCAACCCTTTCAAAGCTGCTACAATTTAGGGGAAGCAGGGGGACTCTGAAAAGTACTATGAAAGATCTACATGATATTATGTAAAAAGCAGAATGTTTCAAACCCCTTTTTTCCTGATCCATAGTGAGTTTTGAATAATTTAAAACTTTACTTTGGTCAGTAGAAAAGAGCTGGTTGCTTGAAGCTCCACTTCCCAAGTATTATTGATAGCATGATTATCTATCTAAATTAAACATTACAATTAAAAAAAGCCATTTGGGGTTTGATTTCTCTTCAAACCAAATTTGTAAAATAACTTCTCCATCATAATTTGTATGCTCAACCCTACTTCCTATGTTACATTGTTTTACTTGTGCCCTGAATAATGTTGCTTTAATCTTTCTGGAAGCAACAGGACTGTGGAGCTAACCTGTTCATTTCTGCTCCAGTCTCAAAAGTGAGTAAGATATATAACACAAAGAGAGGCACTAGGCTTGTGTGGCCATAACATTGGAAGAGGCAGTTAAAAAGTATATATTTCAAAATACTACACCACTTTAGAAAGTTTAAGTACATTATTAAAAGAAAATTGTTAATTGTTGCTAATGACTGAATTAAAGCTCACTGGAATTTCTAAAGATATCATTTTGTGAAACACTTTGATCTGAAGTGATTTTTTTTGGCCTGAAAGCCTCATTCTGTGAGTTTATCAACAAATAGATCATTGCCATTCTAATAACCATGTCCACATCTTCTGGAAAAAGATATTGGTAAACGGTTGCTTGCAACCTGACAGCATTGTTTCCATTCCCTTACTAAGAAAGATTGATATTTTTAAGAATTAACTATAAACATGAGACACTGGGCTGTGTTTTCAAAGTGACCTCTAAATTGGCACCTTTCATTTTACATGTGCAATCTGGTAATTAAACTTCTAATTACCTGATTTACAGGCCAAAAAATGTGAATTCCAAATTAATGACAGAGTTGAAGCTGGTCTTGCCCATTGTGATGGTCTCTGAGACAAGCTGAAATTCCATGATATCCGTGTTGCTTATGCAAAATGTCTTGTTAAAAAAACCCTGATTTTGATATCTAGTTTTTGTTTTGTTCTTTGTTTTAAGGACTATCGGACAAAACCCTTTTGCTGCAGTGCATGTCCATTTTCGTCGAAGTTCTTTTCAGCCTATAAAAGTCACTTCCGGAATGTTCATAGCGAAGACTTTGAAAATAGGATTCTTCTTAATTGTCCCTACTGTACTTTCAATGCGGACAAAAAGACTTTGGAAACGCACATTAAAATATTTCATGCTCCAAATGCCAATACACCAAGTGGAGGCATCAGCACTTTTAAAGATAAAAACAAACATGATAGCCTTAAACCTAAGCAGGCTGACAGTGTAGAACAAGCTGTTTATTACTGTAAGAAGTGCACTTACCGAGATCCTCTATATGAAATAGTTAGAAAGCACATTTACAGGGAACATTTTCAGCATGTTGCTGCACCTTATGTAGCAAAGGCAGGTGAAAAGTCGCTCAATGGTGCAGTTCCCTTAAGTTCCAGTACCCGAGAGGAGGGTAGTATTCACTGCAAACGATGCCTTTTTATGCCGAAGTCATATGAAGCTTTAGTACAGCATGTTATTGAAGACCATGAACGTATAGGATATCAGGTTACAGCAATGATAGGGCACACTAATGTAGTGGTTCCAAGATCCAAACCTTTGATGCTAATAGCTCCAAAACCACAGGATAAAAAGCCTATGGGACTTCCTCAAAGGATGGGCCCCCTTTCCCCTGGAAATGTCCGGTCTCTTCCATCACAGCAGATGATGAATCGACTCACTATACCAAAGCCTACATTAAATTCTGCAGGAGTGAATATGATGTCAAATGTTCACCTACAACAGAACAATTATGGAGTCAAATCAGTACCACCAAGTTACGTTGGACAGCCGGGGGGAAGGCTAAACTTAAGTGGTAATACACCAGTTTCTATTCCACAACAGTCTCAAACAATGAAACAGTTTTCACCAAGTGGAAATGGAAGGCCTTATAGTCTTGGAGGGGAGCAGAGATCACAAGCTCCAGCAAGGTATTCTCTTCAGTCTCCCAATTCATCTTCTCTTTCATCAGCCCAGTTGAAACAAACATCATTATCTCAGTCTCAGGCAGCATCACGAATATTAGGTCAATCTGGCTCAAAGCCTCCTGTGGCTGCTACAGGTCCTTCTGCTGTCAATACTTCATCAACACAAAAGTGGAAAATATGTACAATCTGTAATGAGCTGTTTCCCGAAAACGTGTACAGTGTTCACTTTGAAAAGGAGCACAAGGCTGAAAAGGTGCCTGCAGTAGCTAACTATATAATGAAAATACACAATTTCACTAGCAAATGTTTATACTGTAATCGCTATCTACCCACTGATACGTTGCTTAATCATATGTTAATCCATGGACTGTCTTGTCCATACTGCCGTTCAACTTTCAATGATGTTGAGAAGATGGCTGCTCATATGCGAATGGTTCATGTTGATGAAGAAATGGGACCTAAAACAGATTCCACTTTAACCTTTGATTTGACTTTGCAGCAGGGTAGTCACACTAATATACATCTACTTGTAACCACCTACAATCTGAGAGATGCCCCTGCTGAATCTGTAGCTTATCATGCTCAGAATACTCCTCCTGTTCCTCCAAAACCACAGCCGAAAACCCAGGAGAAGGCAGATATACCTGTGAAAAGTTCTCCTCAAGCAGCAGTTCCCTACAAAAAAGATGTGGGTAAAACACTCTGTCCTCTTTGCTTTTCAATCCTAAAAGGACCCATCTCTGATGCACTCGCACATCACTTAAGGGAGAGGCATCAGGTTATTCAAACAGTTCATCCAGTGGAGAAAAAGCTAACATATAAATGCATTCATTGTCTTGGTGTATATACCAGTAATATGACTGCTTCAACTATAACGCTACACCTTGTTCACTGCAGAGGGGTTGGGAAGACCCAAAATGGTCAAGACAAAGTTAATGCTCCATCTCGGCTTAATCAGTCTCCAGCTGTGGCACCTGTGAAACGTACTTACGAACACATGGAATTCTCTCTGATGAAGAAAAGAAAAATGGATGATGATGACTCGCCATCTGCCTTTGAAGAGAAGCCTGAAGAACCTGTAATTTTAGCGCTAGACCCTAAAGGTCATGAAGATGATTCTTATGAAGCCAGAAAAACATTTCTTACAAAATATTTCAATAAGCAACCATATCCCAGTAGAAGAGAAATTGAAAAGCTGGCTGCTAGTTTATGGCTATGGAAATCGGATATTGCTTCACATTTTAGCAACAAAAGAAAGAAATGTGTTAGAGATTGTGAAAAGTACAAGCCCGGTGTGCTGCTTGGTTTTAACATGAAAGAATTAAACAAAGTTAAACATGAAATGGATTTTGATGCTGAATGGCTGTTTGAAAATCATGATGAAAAGAATTCCAGAGTCAATGCTAGTAAAACTGTTGATAAAAAAATAAACCTAGAAAAAGATGATGAAAGTTCTTCGGACAGTTACGAAAATATAGAAGAGGAATCTAATGAAAGCAATAGTCTGTTTGGTCAATCAATTTCAGATGTTGGTCGTAAAATCTCTATAGATAGCATAATAGAAAATCCAGAAGACAGCATATCCAAGGAGACTGCTGATGAAAATACCATACAGTCTCTGGAGAAATCAGACCAAAAACAGGAGGAAGGCTCAAAATATGAAGCAATTCACTCTGTCAACGAACCAATTAAACTGGTAGATGATGCCTCAGATAGTGAAGGTGATCAAGATGATGCCATTGAATGGAAAGATGGAGCTTCACACTCTGAAAGTGGATCTGGCTCTCAGCGAGTTTCTGACTTCGAAGACAATACATCAGAGGTGAAACCAGAAGCTTGGACAGATGAATCATCCCAGAGCGAAGATGCTAGTAGTAGTAAACCAGCTGCAGAAATAAAAAGGGTTGCATCTGAAAGTGATGAAGAGCAATCAAAATGGAAGAATAGTTCCTATGGAAAAGTAGAAGAATTTTGGTCTAAGGACCAGTCACAATGGAAAAATGCATCAGAAATTGAGGAGAGCTTGTCAAATCAGCAGATGGAATGGCAGAATAGCACAATTGACAGCGAAGATGGAGATCAGTTTGACAATGTGACTGATGGTGTAGCAGAACCAATGCATAGCAACTTAACTGGTGTAGAGTTGAGTAGCCAGCAAGCATAAACTGCTCAATTCAAACACATCAGTAAATATGCTCCAATCTATAACTGTCTAAATACTTTTATTTCAATATGACTGCTAAGCTTCATTCTAACTGGTACTGCCTTTTGAGTGCTAGGTCATCTGGCTAGTGGTTGATGTAGCCACTATTATTCCAGTGGTTATTCCTAAGTATGCTGTTGGCTAATTTTGCTTGAGAATACCTGCTGTGATGAGCACAGTAACTTAATGTGAAACAGATAAGCTGGTGGCTCCCGAATGCACACAAAGAAAACCAGAGGTTTACTTTATCTGCATTTTCAACATTTATTTCACTCTTGGATATGTTCAGATGTATGTCTTTTTAAACATTACCCTTTTTCACATGGTAGTATAGGGCCAACAAGAGCTACCAGTTCAATGTGTATAGTAGACTATGGGGAAATTGATTTTTTCATGTATCATTCTGAATAGTTGAAATGTATATTTGTACAGTCTTTTAGACCTATTCAAGTGAAGCTTATGAAATTGTTCTTGTGTACCCATCATAGATTTGTTTCTCTTTTTTAGTGTTGCCCTGCTGTGTAATAAATGCTGTATCTAGTTTACCTAGCAAAAGCTTGAAACTGCTATAGTATGAATTTTGACAGACTTAGTTTTTGCACATAACCTTGTACAATCTCAAAACTGAGGCCAGCAACATAAAATTATATCTGGACTCTATTGTATTATAGAATTTTCTTGTTCTGAATATCCTTGACATTACAACTGATGACAAACGTATTTCAGAGTCATTTTCTGAAATCTTTTAAGCTAAAAAGAAAAAAAATCACATGCAAGAAACAAGTTTGCAGCTACTAATTTTGACACCTTTTAGATATGTATAAAAGTGTATTGTGTTGAAGCAGCATACAGAAATAAAAATGCTGCATTTTGGATATTTAGTTTTATCTTTAGTTAACACCAACAAGGTGTTGTATTCATTTATACCATCTAATATATGACACACTGTTGTAGTATGTATAATTTTGTGATCTTTATTTCCCTTTGTATTCTTCATTTAAGCATCTAAATAAATTGCTGTATTGTGCTTAATGTAAACATTTGCTTTATTGATAGTGCCATATCATTGTTTGTTAAATTGTGCTTTGTTACATAGACCCCTATAGAAAGAAGCTCTGGGAATTTTTGTTGTGGTGCTGTCGTTCCAGATATACTGATTTGATTTGCTTATGGGAAAATTTAAAACATTTTCTATTTAAGATCAACTTAACCAGTGAGTTTATTGCTTTCACCTTCCTCTGTTACTTATTACTAGGAACAATAGCATAGAAATAGACTTGAATTGCTTCACTAGTTACAAAAGCTGCAGAATCTAAAGACCCCACCGCATTCATGATTTTTCATTCCTTATCTTTAGTCATCGATTAAGTTGAAGTTCAAGCTTACTGGAAGAATCTTTTCTATCTAGAATCTTTTGTGCCTTTTTCTGAGGCATCAGGTATATTTTTGGAAGGGTGGGGGGTAGTGGTGAAGGTGCTGACTACTTAAAACAGACTTTTCTGTCATATGAAACTCTTGGAAAAATGCAGCTGTTGTTTAGTTTTTAAGAAACAGAATAAATCCCATATACAAACAGCACAGTTAATCTTAGTCATTTTGAATGAAGGAGTTCAAACATGTCTTTCAGTACAGTGGCAATAACTAACAAGGATTTTCCTTTTGTCCTGGGATTTCATTCATGTGATCTTTCCTTGAAGAAAAGTTCAGTGTGCTCAGAGCAAGACTTGTTCACATATGGGCAAATTAAAGCTTGATTTGCTGAAAGTGCATACAATACAATGTGTTTTTTAATTTCTTATTGCTTTTTAGGATTTTGTTGCCCAGTATGCTGTTAGCAAGAAGGGCATAATCAGGATATATTGGCAGACATCTGCAACCAGTGATAGATAGATAGATAGATAGATAGATAGATAGATAGATAGATAGATAGATAGATAGATAGATAGATAGATGAAAGTTGGTTACGATATTGTGAGATGTGCCTAGGAAACAAGTCATCGCTACTTTAAAAATAGCTTAACTTATCCAGTTTTTCTATGTGGAAGCTTTTCACAGTAGTGTACATAAAGGAAATATTTTTAAATAATCATTCTGAATTTGGTTCTAAAGTTTTAAAGCATCTTGGGCAGAAACGTGCATATATCTACATAGTAAACGAATAGATGTAGAAAAGCAGTGATGTGATGAACAAGTGAGACACACAAGCCTAAGCTGAAAGTATTGATACTGTCTGTGTATTGAAAATGTATTATACCCCTTTCCTAATTTTGGTGTCACTGACTACTTAGGTGCCTTCTTCACTTTTATAAAACATATGGTGTTAACACAAGGTCTACTGACTCAGACTTGCAGGGCTATAAAATGGCAGTGTAGACAGCTGGGCTGGAGCCTGGCTCTGGGACCTTGTGCCCATGTCTGCACTTAAGCCCAAGCACCACAACTCTGAGTCACCTGTATTTTTAATGCAGTACAGACATCCTTTTAACTTTTCAGAGTGTTTTTTACATGGATGATGGGTTGATCAATAGAAGCAGAAGTGATGACTTGTTTCAAAGAAAGACTCTTGATTGGACAATGGGATGGTATAAGTTTTCATTTTTTCTCTTT